ACACTTCTTTTATTATATCAGGAGTGGGATTCACAACACACATCCCTATGTAAAGAATGCTGTTGCAGCTGTGTCTTTGGTATTATACATTATACATCATAATATCCAAGAAAATATTAATAGTATAAATACATAAAAGTAGCAAAAAGAAAAGCCAAACCAAAATCAAGGCTTTGTCAYTCAAATATTGGATAGGCACCATGTGACMTTTCVTTATAKTCTTTGCTCAAGGACCAGAACCARGTGACAATGAATGAATTYAGGCRTCCTGGGGTGATGAAACAAAGGTATTCAGCCCACAAATACCRCACAGGGATATCTGKGACTAAAGCATACATTCATTCCTATCCTTGACTAAGGGCTCATCCAGTTATTAGGCAAAAAAMCACATCTAGGCAGGATGCTCAGCAATACCTGGCACAGGCTGCCAAAGTCTCCTTTCAAGTCYAGGGAATGTATCAAGGCACTACATGGATGAGACCGGAAGGGAAACAGAGGCAATAATAAGGCAGCTACAAATGTGCTCCAACCTTACCACAAGCAAAAGCAACTTCTCTCCTGTGGGCTGTCACTGCCTGACTCTGCCTGGTGGACACCAGAAGTGAAGCCAAACACAGAAGGAGTGTTCACAGAGCAAGTGGGATGGTTCTTGTGTCAGCAAGAACCTGGAGACCTCTGCATCCACATGCAGGGCTGGGAGGGGTTGGACATGGCAGGGACTGGTTTTGTCTAAGCAGCTCTGTTATTCCTGCCAAGCTCAAGATCAAGACCATAGGAGAGGTTCAGGCACAAATGAAAGAGAGACAATTAGTGCAAAAGGAATCACTCTGTTTCAGGGAAATGTGAATTTATTGTGCAATGCTGCCAAGACATCTCCTCCTTAGGGACAGCAAAACCTGCCACAGAACAAGATGCTGGAAGTTTTGTTGTGCCGGATGAAGAAGAGGAAGGGATGATCAGCAGTGAAATCCGGAACTATCATGGCACAGCGCATCATCATCACTGCTGCTGTGGCAGCAGCTGCTTCAGTGCCTTCTTCATTGACTTCCACAAAGGACTTGTGAACCACTTTAGATAGCACCAGCTTGTTGCCAGATGACATTCCTGAAAAGTCTGCCTTTCCCGAATCAAATGCCTCAGGCATTCCCATGCTGCTCAGAAGGGGTTTCAGATCATAATTTTCTTCCAGTTTAAATCTGGGTAAAGACACTCGCACCTCTGTGGAGTCCATCATTTCAGGATTGATCCAATCTATTAGCTTCTCATATGTAAGTTCTCTTTCCAGCTGAAGAAAAATCCCAAATTCACTTAATTACAATGAGAATTGAGTCAGTGTTTCACAAGCAAAATAAGTGACTCTGAAGTTTATTTACATAGTGCATAACATGCAAACCCTTTTACCAGAGTTGGAGAGTCTCAAGCCAAAAGTGCAAGTTAAACTGCTCACAGGAGACTATGGCCGCAGCCAAGATAATTTTTGAATGTTTTTTGGTAGTTACAACAGGGATCAATCCTGTTGKAAAATTGTAAAATTAAGTTCTACAGAACATGTTCGATTGTTGGTTTTAAAAAAAATTGTTACTTATGGGAAAGAAAGGCACAAAAGGACAGCTAACAAGGACCCAAGGAAACCAAACCCAGTTCTTCTATCTCTTTACAGAAGGGTCATCCTTCAGATCAGTCAACAGCATGATGAAAACAGTCTGCTCATGAGGCCCRTTGAGGTCAGTGTCAGAAAACCTTATTAATAAACTTCTTTGTCCAGAGCAGAGAATAACCCATATTTGTACCTTATCCCCACAACAAGGCATCCTGCCCCTTCCTGGGAGGCTCTTTGCAGGAAGTGAGCCACACACCACCTGAATCTGCTCAGCACACAAAACTTACAGGACAA